CCTTATAAGCAGATGCGCGACGTTACTAGCGAGCAATCTGCACAACTCAACAGGCTTAGGCTTACCGTAATGGGCGCAACTCGATCAGTTTTGATGACCGAACCATTGGAAGGATATGGATCATTGAAAAGACAACAGATTCGACATTTCTGAAGATGACGAGAGCGTGCAATGGAGTGCCATCCTGATTTTCTTTGAAAATGACTTTCTCTATAGGACCAGCCTGAACAGAAACTTATTTTCCCAAGTTATTCCTTAATAGATCGTTAAGAGCACTTACACGACTCAATAGTGCGTAAAGGTCGTCATCCGTGATGGATTTGTGGATCATCGACACGAATAATGTCCTATCTTTCCTATCATAAAAGTTGTTCATGCCTGAAATTGAACAACATAAATATTTAAATATTCCAAAAGACCAAATAACTTGATAAATTCACACGGAACTCAGGAAATGAAACAAAAAGCGAAAGATGCACAGCAAGATGTGAACTTGACACTTGTACCAGTCGTGGTGTCACTTGGCACCAAACTGGTGCAACTCCTGCATCCACCAAACCTGTCAATAATCAAGTCAAATGGCCTAGTCACGAACATATGCAAAGCGCTGGGAAAAGGGAAAATGCCTGCGCGTTGGCCTAGGAAAGAGAGGGAACTGGGGGGAAACGCAAAGCGGCAACAGTGGCAATATTCCTTACCACGAAACCAAAACCATGAAAAAAACCTTTTTCGGCAGACCTTACGACACCGACTTATCAACTTCATGCAGGAACAGGAGCACAGGAAAGTACACAACCGAGACGGTTAAGTTCTCCTTATAAAGTTAGTATTGCTTCAAAAATCGTTCATGCGTTTTCTACCGTTTCCTGTGCTCTCTCGGCAAGACAGTTTCCTAGGACAGTACTTTTCAGTTAAGTATGGGAAAGGGCCAGGTTCATCGGTAAATAGGTGAGATACAGATCTGCAAAGGGCTGAGATCCCAGCCTTTTGCAGATCTGTATCTCACCTATTTATCGATGCTGTTCCCCTTCTCGCGTGAGCAAGAAATCGCTGTCCCTTGCTGAAAAACACTTCTGACCACTAACACAGACCCACAGGGAAAGCCATCCATCCTTCTCTGTGCTCCAGCTCTTAGCGTAGAGAAGCAGAATACAGTAGTGCTCTCCTAACGTATCAACGGCATTCCTGACCAAACAAGTCGAAGCAAGTTTCGATGCTGGACCGCAAAATGAATGCAGCTTCGCAAAAAAAGTATCGAATGAGTGTAAGGGAAATTAACGGCCATTCTTAAGAACAGGACGAGCACTAATCTAATCCATCACAAGATCTTCCCATGATCATCTAACTCTTAGAATTCCCCCTCAAGTGAAGTGAGGTGTTCAAGGGAAACACGAATAGGATAAGAGCAATTTCATATTGAGAACGAATAGTGTTTCGGGCATTCAATCTATAACAGCTTGTTCTATACATCTATTAAGTTTCAAAATTCAAAAATGTTCCTGAGCAAGGTCAGCGATTTCTGAACTCGAGTCCAACAGCAAGTGAGAGTGGTTTCGCGATTTAAGTGGGTCCGAAGGTATGACTATCTGAACAGTATTCACGGCTTATTCCGAATGTGTCAATCAACATTGAGCATGTCGTTTTTTGATTTCATTTCAACTCGGAAACCGCGACTCACAGTGTAATAATGCGAAAACGCTCCTCTCACTAACATCATTCAGTATCAGCCCAGACATTCGGAGCTTATACTTCGTCAACCAGTTTCTGCTTTATTTTGACTCCTACTGTTGTTCACACTTTACTTGTTTATCATATACTATACCATTGACAGAAATTCTGTACGTGTTGACAGCGCTTTTGAAATGATTACCAGCTATAATATTATTCTGCAATTCGCTTAACACATATACTGCCTTCAAGTAGTAGACACTGGCTTTTAACTCACTCCATGTCGCGAGCAATCAGAGAGTGTATTTTCCAAAACGTAGATGCTCTGAGCGTGGTGCTTAATAGGTCCTGAAGTTATGTCCAAGAAAGCATGGAAGTTATGCAGTCAAGGCGTCCACACTTTGCGTAAGCTCACCGTCGCCATCCGAGAATTGCTGGCTACGCCCCGAGGCGCCGAAACGTGGCGCTCGTCACTTGGGATATCGATCGAAGCGAAACACTGGTTCACAGCGCGTGGTAGCATTCAGGCAATATTTTGTCGCCAACTCGAGACTGTACGCGTTAGAACTTGTTGGCTCTGTTGCATTTTTGTCGCTATTGCCTAGGTGTGGGTTATTTTTACCCGAACGGCGTGCTGCACTCGCCGCATTCAACCCCGCACTCTGAGAGGGGAGATTTCGATCCCCAATGGAAGACGGCGGTAACTGCCGCGAAAACACTGCCGTCTGCCGTGGGAAACGAGTAGGAATACCGCCTACGCTTATGTATGCTTTAGAATGAATTTTATATAAAATGATCGGCATTGAAAGCAACATGAGTTACTTTAAGCCAAGTCCGACAAAGCGGCAAACAAGCTGTGTTAACTAGACCCTGAGGAATAAGGTTACAGTGAATGATAGAGCGAAATAGAACAGATAGATTGGAGCAAGACGATTCCGCCTTTGGAGGAACTTCTGATGAAGTAATCATTCCTAGTGAAACCAAAAAAAAAAAAACCTAAGCACGAATTTAAAAAAGAGCTTGAACAAGAGCACGGACTAGATGAGCAGGGTCATCTGGCCGTGACGGCCAAATTAGTGCAACACAAGTTCTTCTGAACTTCGAGTCCTGTCAAGTTAGAACACATCAAAAACGTGTTTACAGTTGACATGACGCGATAACTCGCGTGATATCGATTACCGCTTCTTTTACCCAGTTGCATCGCGCAAGCGCATGCGGGCGTGACCGATTGTAGGGCGAATTTCCCGAACTGGAGGATCTTATTTCTAGGCCAAGTCCATCCTGTTGGGAATTGCTAACGTAAGAGGTGGCATATGGCAAATTAACAATACATTCGCTATTGAATTATTATTTGAAATCCCGGACAGTAGGGTAGATTGATTGGCATGACTATTGATTACTTAGTGGCACAGCACAGGTTGGCGCGCAGGGCATATTTCTCGCGGAAATTTTCCAACTCTGACACCTCACTGGAATCCTTCTTTCGCCAAGTCTTTGTTAGTAGTTGGTGATCCATTCTGTCGCAGATTCTCTTCATTCTTCAAGTATACAAGCTTCATACTTTTTGACTTTTTTTCAGATCTCTATCCCAATTTCTATCTATGATTTCGAAAACATTGCTGTTCTTACTGATAAGTCCTCTGCTTTCAAAAGCTTTCATGAAGCAATCGATTGGAATCAGAGGGGTTCTTCGTAGTGGATCAAAACCACTTAGGGATCATGCCGTGAAGTTGTATGTAAGTAAAATAGGTAAGTTCCCTTAATTTTTTTGATGTTTACAGGCTGTTATACTTTAAATCCCAAAAATGAAACAAACTGTCGAATTGCAGCTCCATTTTCCGATGTACTGGTTGCGAGCAACAGGACAGATTCTAATGGATTGTTCTACCTTATTGGAACAACAGCTCGCATACCTCTAATGACCCAATATCTTGTTGTCGAGAATGATTGCAGTGGAAAGGTTATTATTTCTAAAATTTTCTCAAATTCAAGTTAATGTAAAGACTAGCAGTTTGAGCGGTAGGTTGAATAATTTACCTTGCGCCGGAACTACACATGTGTCCGAGCCAACAAGCTTTCTGCGAAGCCCCCCCCCCCCCCCCCCNCCCCCCCCCCCCCCCCCCCCCTCCCTGGTGTGATCTGTTGATTTTAGGCTCGTTATGGGAACGAAATAACTGAAATGGGTGCATCGGGGCATCCAAAACGGGTTTAAGCAATGTCTAGCTTCATTTCCGTTGTGTGTATGTTTGGAAAAGTAAAAAGTAAACATTTCCAGGAGCAGAAAGTTGAGCTTCCGAGTTCGTTGGAGGACCTGCCAAGTTCAAAGGTGAGCTATCAGATGAAAATATTACAGCACTACCCTCCCTTTCATTTTCTTTTTTCATTCTGTCATTATTTGTAACAGCTACGTAGTAATCCCCTTTAGGAACCGTCAGTGATCAGTGACGTCGGTGTTATAAACCTGGCAATCTCGCTGTCACGATGACTAGCACCAGCGTTCCTATTCGCCTTGCAGTTCGTTTGTAAATCGCTTTGATACGTGCTTTTTAAGTATAATACATTTTTTATCACAATAATGCTTATTCCTTGCTGAGACGGCTTCTTGGCTGTAATTAAATAGTTATTGTGTCAATAATCTGTTTGAGAAATTTTAACGAATTGAAATGGTGTTATGTTCCAATGGTCGGCCGGATGAATTCGTTATCGGCCAGTAGCTGTGAAGTTATCGGCCAGTAGCTGTGAAGACGTTCACAGGCGGAAATAAAGAATATTGAAGAAGAGGGTGTCTCTGCATGGAATCATGTATTACTGTTCTTATTTAATAATCCTTTTGAGCTCAAGGTGCAATATTAATAAGGTATTTAACACTTTAATAACATCTATTATTAATTGTTATTGTTACGCTGTGGTGACAGATGATACCATGAAATCAACTACCAGCCAGAAAACGCTCGATGGCTGTAAAACGCTACATTCGTACACTGTGCAGTCATACATACTCTACATATCTATGCGTTGATGAGAAATTGCTCTTTCTATTTCTAAAAACAATTCTCTTTTCGTCTTATCCCGTAGTTTTAAATCCATTTTACATCCTGCGCTTGTAATTTGCTTCTTGCATTTCAGTTTCGAAAGGCTACCGTGCAGGGAAAAATGTTTTCAATGTTCGAATTCAACTTGTTCTATTTCGTAGCGCCGAAATCGCAAACTGCGCTTTCTCTATTCGCATGTGTTTCATGAATCAATCATTATTTATTCATGAGTGAAAACATCCAAAAGCATTCTTTATTTGAATACAGTATCCAGAATTAGAATAGCTAGTTTTATTTCACTTTTAAAACGTCAAGAAATTCCCCCAAGTGGGTGAATATCTGGCATTGAAATGGTATTCGATCAGACTTGATCAATAGAACAACCTCGATAGGGGTTACGCTCCCAGACATTTGACAACAAAAGCTCGCCCACAACCCATTTCTTATCAGCGATTAANAGTCTTATGCATTTCGTTTTTTTCAAGATCAGGAAAGGGATCAGATTCCTGTTGACTATTAACAAAATTGTTAAACTCCGTACAGAACAAAAAGGGATTTATTTTTCTGGAGTTTCCTCAGTATTTAGTTTTCTAGTCCGTTGTATTCCAAATAATGGATGGATTGAGAGAAAGCAGAGTAGATGTTGTGGTACTCCTGTAATTACCAGCACACTCTGCTGACTTGCTGGTCCTGTTAGCGAAAGCTTTCGCATCTAAATGATTTCCAAACTAAAGCTGGCTAGCACGGGCTCTTGATCAATATGTTTACCCAATTTCTATTCCATTGACGTGAGTTTCTCTTTAAACTGTTTACTTTACTTGTCTCATTAATCCGTCAATGAAGTGATTCAGTTTCCATCGCATTAGACAGCTGTTGGCCGATTTGTGTACCTAGCTGCTCCTTCTTTTTTGATTTCATTTCCTCTCTTTGTTTTCCATGAATTTTGGCTTTCAAAGCATCATTTTGCTAGAAAAACAAATTATCTGCTTTATTTGTTTGCTTTTGGTGTTCTTCATTGAATCAGATGGCTAAGCTGATGAAGGCGCTTTCATAGTAGAATCGAATGCGAATAGCGGTCGAAGATCTCTACGAAGACCTTGGGATCTTCAAACCTTCTTCCTACAGAATTTGGGCCCTAAAAGTAGTCCTGTAGAGCAATTTGAGAGGGTGGAACAGGTACTGTCATCTACTCCACATCGTTCCTGCAAATGCAACGAGCCGATTCGACGATGTGTGATGTTCGGCCTTGTCCTTTATAGAGGCGACTGTGATGAGTCATTCCAGCAGTTCTCTCGCACCTTTGTTGCCAAACTCTAATAGAGCTGTTCCACTAAATTTCGGTTTCGGACAGTTGCGGCATGCTTAAGCAGTACCTGAAGCAGCATGCCTTCACAGAGACTTTTTGAGCATAATGCTCAGGACTTTATTGAGTCGAATTACTCGTCCACCAAGACGGTGTTTCAATTCAATCGGCTGATGATCGTCGAAACTATTATTGTTGGTATTGTCTAGTACTGAAATCGGGTGAACTGGCCATACCGGTAGAACAGCGTATTCAACAAAGGTGAAGCTCACGGTGTGGTTTAGTGGTTGAGTGACTTACCAGCGCGCATCGTCCTCGCAGAAGGAGTTGAGCGGATAGCTGTTATGAGGAAACTTACTACTGTGAGACCCTACCAAATGATTCTAAATCGGGGTGGGAAATCCTGGTTGCTTTTATATGTGATGTAATTGACGTTGACGGCAGATTGATCGCTCACACTACTATCATTTTCGCTAAAAATCTCGTAGGGACGTAGCGGGAACAAATATATTGGTAAAAGCTCAATTTTTGGCCGATAATTCCTCAAACTCTCAAATGAAGGATTCTAAAGGGATCCCGGATGCATGGCCTCTCCAAACTCGATTCTTTTTTCACTTATCCAAATGTCCCCAAAGACTCTAACTGGGACTTCCAGGCAATGTTCTGAATTCCTGATGCCAACAAGACGTCCTTCATCGCTTTCAGATACCTGGAGACTTGGTCCTTGAAACTCGTAAAGGATCGAATGTTAAGGGAATAAAAATGAACATTCTTCTAACTACTGTATATCCCACAAGTAGGCTAACCATCGATCATTCTTTGGCACAGAATACATTGTTATGGCAGGGCCACGGTTTTCAAAAGATTAATCCGTCACAAACTGTCGATTTTGCCGAATAGGCAGGTTATGTAACTCGTTTTCTCGATTGTCAGTCCTCTCGGTACTCCGGGCCGCTGTCTTGACAATGTCACGCTCTGTGATCAGTTAAATATCCGCTTTCCATCGATTTTTAGCGTGGTGATTTGTTGAAGTTATTAAACTGAACTTATAATTTCTCATCCAAATTTATCACAGGTTTTTACAATTCTATACCACACTCTACTCAAGTTTTCTGCACATTTTTCTAACAATAAGCCCTTGTTATATTTACCATATAGCCCTTGTTTTGCAGGTCGTTTGAAAACTTGAACGACTTTTTTCCAATTTTTCGGTCCTTTATTTCAGTAAGCAAATGAAAACAAGGTTGTTTTTGCTTCTGTTGTCTGCTCCGTTGTTGTTGAATGCCTTGTTGAGTCAATCGCTTGGAATTCGAGGGACTCTTCGATGTGGTACTAAACCGCTCGGAAATCGTACTGTCGAATTGTACGAGAAACGAAAATGTTAGTTTTTCTGATGCTCAGAATAAATCTTGCTGTAATACGAAGATCGATTTCCAGCCCCTTTTTCCGACAAGCTATTAGCGTCGAACACGACCGATTCCAACGGACTGTTCTATCTGACCGGAACAACTGCACGTATATTACCTGTGACACCTCTTTTACAAATCGATGACTGCAGGGGGAAGGTTGGTTTTCTCTTGTCATAATGGAGACATTCTGTCCTGAGTGTGAAGGGAAGAAACTACCATTCTATAATTCTTGCTTTTAAGTTTCAGTAGGGACCTGCTTTTTCTAAATACTTCCTTAGACAATTTCCAATTAATTTCAGACAAGAAAAATCAAGCTACCAAGTTCGAAAACTGATGTCACACGTACAAAGGTTAGTCCCTTGTTCAATAGATGAGGCTGTTCTGAGGTGGGCGGAGTGATCTGGCCATCTCCGATGGCTGATTTATTGGCAGCCATCTGATCCAGACAGCTTTATCGCGCTCGTGATTTAATCTATACTGTTAAAAGTGAATGTTGCAACCCTTTTCAGGACGTTAGAAAATTCAACGATGTCGGTATCATCAATTTGGGCATTCCCTGACGCTAATGAATTCAACATGTCATTCGGTTATGGAAAGCTTTATTTATCTATTGCTGAGTAAATGTACATATTTCATTCTATTGTGCGATAATAGAACAAAGGCTGAAAAAACTCAACGTTGCCATAGTGTACATATGCCGCGCCACTAACTTCAACTCAGAAATTCCATCATGGTGTGAAGAGTCGATGAAGAAGCTATTTTATGTTAGCTATAGCTAAATTATTCAGGGAAGGTCGCTAGATGTTTATGACTTTAGCAGTATTCACGATGTTCTTGGATTCCTCTCAGAATCACACTGGCAAGCCCCTGTAGTCTATGTAGTAAGTTTCAGATCTCCACCCTAATTTCTCATACACGCGGGTATTCTGCCAGTTTGGACGGATGGGAGGGTTTACTCCCTGTTTCAACCTTAGTGTTGGGCCGCAAGTATACATCTAGGTACGGTACCCTCCGACCTGACGGGGGACGGAAGATTCACCCAGATCTAGATGGATGCGGCAAATGGCGCGGCGAAATTCGTGGCGATTAGGAAGACTGACACCTACCATTGGGGCGCAATCATGAAGTAGAGTACATTAGTATGGTCGGATGATCGTAATAATCGAGTCTACTTTAAATTTGGGCCCCAATAATAGACGATGAAGTCGTTTAAATCGTCAAGGATTTCGCCGCGCGGTTTGCCGTGTCCATCTCGCTCTGGGTGAATGTACCCATACCCGACCTGGCTTCTGCTGTTTCTCGCGGTGACAACGCTCCACTTTTCTTCGAGGTTTAGATCGGGGAATCACAAACAACTCTTATAATCCGGATAACTTACTCTTTTACTTCATGCTATGATGCTTTGAAACATTCACCTGACTGTAGCTTGTTCATGAATCAGATATAGGTGAAGATCTTCAGAAAACTATTAGCAAATGAGAATTGTTGATTATAAGTGGAAAGGAAAACGTCCAAAAACCAAGCAATGTTCACACATTATAAACAGTGCTAGACAGTTGTAGCTTTTCACAAACATGGACCATGATCGCTCGGATAGTTTCAGGCTTTGATTGAACAGAACAGGCTGGTCATCTACAGAATACCACGCCTCTGCTCTTTTTTCACCAACATTATTCTTCCTTCAGGATTTTGCAATTTGTACCAGAAGTACCGCTTGAAATGGGAACTGGGTTCAAGGTCTGCCATCGCCATTTTACACATTCATTTCAGAAATCAGTGCCCTTCCGAACAGTCTTTACTCTATTTCTCGATCGTCTTCCAGTGAAAGTTAGGACTGCTGGTGCCTCTTTAAGCAAAAGAGACAAATGGTCGTGATGAATATTGCGCCCATAACCGATGTAAGAAATTCCGTATCTTTTTTGTGAACTGCTACAAATGTTATATAGTACTTCTCTCGCTCTGTCCCACCCATCACGATCCTTCGGAAAACCTGTCGGGCGGCAGAAGAACTCTGCACCACTCGGGCATTTCGACCTTTCTGCTTTCATTTCTCAAAACCTTCCACCTTTCATTTCATTTCCTGCTTTTCTCTCCCTTTTCCTGCAGGAGGGGGGGGGGGGGGGGGCGGGGGTTTGCTTCTCCTCTCCTCTGATTCAAATTTCCTTACACAGATTATGAATGAATTTATTTCTGGGAGGAGATCGTATTGGCGACGGTGAGACTAGAAGGAGAAGACATAACACGTAACTCTGACATCCTCTACAACACAGAATTCGGTAACTTGTGATAAAGTGAACGTGAAAGGACTCGATGTACAGAACACTGCCATAGGTGTGCCCCTCCCTCGAAGAGCATCGTTCAAGTTCGTCCGCGATTCAGTCTCATCTTCGGTCATTACCTGAAACCATTGCGAATTCATCACTTGAACAGAACCTTCGAAACTGATGAGCAGCACCTTCTTCATGACTTTCTCAAGCTCTTTACTGTTGCACTGTATATCGCTGCTAGTTCCAATTAGCTCTGCAGACCTGAAAAAAACCTATCAGCCCCCGTCCAAAGCGATAACAACAATTCAGCAAATCTACTTACCGCTTGGTTCTATGACGTTTTTTATAACTACCAGCAGTAAGATAGGGTGGAGGAGACTCAGCATAGGAAACAGGTTGAGGAGCAGCGTACTGTGGTGGTGGTGGTGGTGGAGGCTCAGCATATGGCATAGGTTGTGGAGCAGAATACTGTGGAGGTGGAGGATAATACTTCGGAGGAGGAGGAGGAGGCATTGGTTGTGGAGGTGGATAATAGGGTGGTGGTGCTTGACAGGGAGGTGGTGGTGGAGGGTACATAGGTGGAGGTGGAGGAGCATAACCACCACCGCCGCCCAGGCCACCTCCTATGCCACCGAGGAGCTCCCATAAGAATGCCGAGCTTAATGAAACAAGGGAGAGTAGCAATTCTAATCGAAGAAGCATTGCTCAAGGAAGCTGGTACGTTAATGCCTATACAGTGACCAGCTGGGACTTGAACAGTTGCGCTGCAAGTATAAGGAAGCTGATCATTACCGTCTTTATATAGACCGTGGCGAACTTCTGACGAATTGCCCCGGAGTGCGAGGGAGCGTCACAGGTTTTGTCCTTATAGCTGACCTTCATTCACTTGGGCAACCTTGGGCACGAAAACAAAGGACACAATACGTAAGCTTCTCGACTAATTCGGAGTTTATGCGGTATTTCGATTCCTGCCGTGGCGACCTTGTCAATGTCGCCCACTACAAACGGCTAGTCACTTGACCTTGTGCCCCTGTTGTTTCAGAAGTTACAGGCACTATCTGATGGTGGGTTGGTGGTTTGTAGTTTGTTAATGAAGCACCGCTGAAAAGGCCCGAAGCAAATTAAAATACTCAGGAAAAGAAATGTAAGTAAAGCGTAGGGGAGACGAAAAGGTGAGTTTTTCTTGAGGAACTTGAAGTTGAGACGAACCAAAGAAAAACCGGAACTATACTCACAAAAGAAATTTGGGATAATTGCAAAGTAACCATCATCTGTAGTTAATGAGGAGTCCAAGCGTTAACTCTTCTGTCAATATCTCCAGCGGACCATTCGGTGACACGGGAGCTCTGCTATGGAGAAGAAGACGACGCAAAAGACCGATTCGCAATCCCTCTAATCTAATCACATGTATAAGGAAACGAAGTGATCGAGAGAATGAAAAACATCCATTGTAAAAGGCGACAATGTATACGGCTGCTCATATAAAATTTTCAAATCAGCTATTGAAGTAGCACGAGGTAAACCTTCTTACAATCTGTACTTGTGATTGTACTTTGCAAAACTGAACAGTAACTTAGGTGAGTTTTTCAAGCGGTTGAGGATGCCTTTCAACTGGTAGGTGAACCCATAGAGGAGTAAGCACAGCATGAAAAAGCGAGTGGTCGAAGGGAGAAAATTTCGAAACCAAGTTCACGCCATTATTTTGAGGAATTAGTGTGCTTTTTGGAAGATGAGGTTCAAGAGTAGTGGTAGGAAGTCAAGATATAATGGTAAGGAGTGTAATTAATTTACAAACAAAGCATTCATAGTAGAGAACCAGAGTCCCAAAAAAGTGAACGAACGCAAGCAGTGCGATTCTCCGAATCTTTTATCTGTCAATTTACCAGATAGGTAGCTTAGACCAATGGGTAAGAAGGCGTCCTACTCCAAACAAAACTGCCCAAACCAGCCTAGTTTCTTCGGTATTGCACTGGCAATGAACTCTAATTTGTATGCACCGAGTGGTTCCCGAACGCCGCTGTCACCGCCGGACAGTTTCAGGGTGTTGTGCCGTTCGGACGACTTAAAGGCCGCCTCGCCTGGGCGCGCGCGTAGTCCCGCCGGGAAGGCACCGTACGCCGCAGAGAGCTAGAGTTTGCCACGTGGCGGCGGACT